CCCCCTTCCCTCCAGAAGACCGCCCTGGATCCGCCTGTCTCCGTGACAGGGGTCCGATTCTCCGTTCCCAAACCACCTTTGCCCCCGCCAACTTTCCCACCGCAGATTGAATCTACGGCAGCCAACTCGTCCCTGGTTCTCTCGGCATCCATTCTGGAATCCAGGATTCAAAGACTGTAATGTGTGATGTCTATTTACAGGAACATCGGTATATAAGACGGATGATTCGAAGATTCGGGGTCACGTGTATTATTCGCTCATGTTCATCGACTGAGTGTCCTTCGTCAACTAATCTATTCACGCCGCTACTAGTGATATCTGATTTTGGTCAAAAAGCTGACTTACAATTTCTATTGCTCATCAAATCCGCCCATCCCCCCTCGTTTGGGCCGCTCCAGTTTCCAGTACTCTCGGACAGAGCGCTTCCGGAAATACCAGTACGACTAAGCGGCAGTGGTTTTCCTTGTGTACGCATGGCTGATGCATTTTTCTCGGCCCAATCTTCGAGCGAATGGAAACCAATACGATCGAGCGATGGTGCTGCACCTATAGTAGCTCTGGCTGTACCACCAATTCGACGGTACGTAACGTATTTCTGCGCAATCGGCACATCGGCGGCCGAAAATAATTCGATATACCTAAAATGCAAGGAAACAGCTGTTCAAGGAATTCCCAAATTTCATGTGCTTGAATTTTACAGCAACATTTTTTAACATTTCTTTTTTTTTTCTATTAATATTAACATTTATTTCTCCTTTATTAACAAACTTTTTTTGCGAGATTTCGATATCCGGATGCACAGGCTTTAACAACATGCGGCTTCTCTACCTGTTAAAAAGTACAGTGAAGTGAAATTTAACATCAGCCTGTTTCTGACTAACATGTACTGTCTGTGTTTACAGCTTAGGGGTGAAACACAGGTAGCTTCTTTTTTCACGTACTACTCTTCACATGATCCTTTTACATGACAAACGGTTTACATACATGTCCCACTTAACAATCTCCTTTTTACCCCTTTCAAAGTATTTCAACAGTCAAGTTGGGACCATTCCTGATTGGTTTTGGGTATCGCAACCTGTCGAGATCATAGCAGTTGTTTTTCATGGAATAGTGGTGTAATTTGTTCAAGGAGCATATCGGAAGGTAGAATGATTGCGGAAAGTTATGGTAGTAGCTAGCTGCTGAATGGGATGTTGCACAGGGACTTCAATAAAACACTATGGAATTAAACAAAGCATTCATAATTAATAAAATGTAGTACATATGTTGTGGGTAGGATCTCCATGGCCCGTACTGTCTTTTTCAAAAGAGGGAACCATCGACAACTTTGCCATCAAGTGGATGATGTTGGTACTTATTCCAACTACTTCTCAGTGTACCCCGATCTTTAGATCGAACATCAAAAAGGCTTTTAACTTCGCTGGCCGGTTCTGAATCCGATCAATGGGGACAACCCTATACGAAACTGGAAGAATCCACTTCAGGAGAATATAGCGTGGTGAAAAGACATGCAAAGCATCAACACAGGAGGGACCATAAATTCGGGAAAAAGACATATTTTTATGATAAATCGATGCTTACCGAGTGCCGATGCAGCGTTTATTACGAGATAGTGCATTTCGCACTTCAGCCAATGATGCAA